CAGTGAGTGAGTGAGACCGTGAGTGAATGAGACAGTGAGTGAGACAGAGTGAGTGAGAGTGAGACCGTGAGTGAGTGAGTGAGACAGTGAGTCAGTGAGACAGTGAGAGTGAGTCAGTGAGAGAGACAGTGAGTGAGAGTCAGTGAGTCAGTGAGAGAGTGAGAGGGTGAGAGTGAGTCAGTGAGTGAGAGAGACAGTGAGTGAGTCGAAAATTGTTTCTTGTAAGCATCTTCATCCTCTTCCATTAGATAGCGCATTTATTCTGCGACGTTCTGACCCAGGATGTGTTTTCGATGCACCTCTGCATTGAATTCCTTGCTTTCTGAATCATAACCGGGGAATCGCTTGGTAGTATGAGGGATAGACAAGCCTCCGTCCACAGCCCCCTTCAGAGCCCCAAACACTTTATTTCCAGTGGTAGTCCTGGCAAGGCCAGCATCCAGATAGCAGGTGAAGGCACCAGGTTGACTGTCAATGCTTTCCACATTGTGTTCATCTCCAGTTACCTCCACTTGGCCTTCATAGTCCATGCCAAACCTATTAAGAAGCCTGCAGGCCAGCAGCAGGCCAGTACAATATGCTGCAGCATAATTGGTCAGGCCAACTTTCACACCATACTTAAGAAGTTCGTGAGCATAAGCTGCACAGACAGTCATATCCCCTTCTATATGGGCATAAGCAATCTGGCAGATGATATCCCTGTTGGTTACACGAACTATCATCCTGTATTTGGGTGTATTGTACTTATTTCTATCTTGGATTGCCAAGCGTTTTCGAGCATAATAATCAGTTTTGCCCTCTCGTCGTCGTCTTCTAAGTTTCACTTGGTATTTCTTGAAGTAGGCCTTGTTCTTGACAACTTTAACAAACCCCATCCTGCGGAAAAGAGAGGAATGTCTGCGGATCGCCACAGACCTGCAGGGTGAGTGGCTCTACAGGGGGTGGGAAAAAGCGATTCCATTTTTCTGTGAGCTTTTGGAAGCACCCATATAGGTCCATTATATCTAATAGGTTAAAACTCCTGAAGATAATCATTCTATGGGTTATAATGAGAGACTCAAAGGAGTCAATATAAATGAGAATAATACTTGCCTTAGGGTACCTTTAAGCGATGAGTGAGATAGAATGTATGAAGTATTAAGCTTTGTTGTTAAAACATGAACTCACTCAATAGATGGAACCCATATTAGTATTCTTGATACAGATTTTATTATTTGGTAAATAGTTGTTAAATGATCTTGTATTTGTTACCCACTATGCAAGCATTCGTTATGTGTTTATTTATTTTGTTTTTATTGGGGGCTTGTACAACTCTTACCACAATCCATATATAACATCCATTGTGTCAAGCACATTTGTACATTTGTTGCCATCATCATCCTAAAAACATTTGCTTTCTACTTGAGCCCTTGGTATCAACTCCTCGTTTTCCCCCTCCCCCCATCCTCCACGAGCCCTTGGTAATTTATAAATTATATTTTATCATGTCTTATACTGCCAACTGTCCAATGTCTGCCTTTACCCACTTTTCTGTTGTCTGCCCCCCCCCATCCCCGGGGGGGGTGTCAGGGAGTGGTGGTGTAGGTTATATGTAGATGCTTGTAATCAGTTCCCCCTTTCTACTCCTCCTTCCCTCTACCCTCTGGGTGGTATCTCTACTCTCATCACTGGTCCTGAAGGGTTCATCTGATCTGTCCTGGATTCCCTGTTTCCAGTTCGTATCTGTACCAGTGTACATCCTCTGGTCTAGCTGGATTTGTAAGGTAGAATTGGGATCATGATAGTGGGGGGAAGAAGCATTAAAGAACTAGAGAAAAGTTGTATGTTTCATCGTTACTACACTGCATGCACCCTGACTGGCTTGTCTCCTCCCTGTGACCCTTCTGTAAGGGGATGTCCAGTTGCCTCCAAGTGAGCTTTGGGTGCCAACTCCGTACTTCCCCTCATTCACAATGATAGGATTTTTTTGTTCTTTGATGCCTGATACCTGATCCCTTCGACACCTTGTGATCTCACAGTCTGATGCGCTTCTTCTATGTGGGCTTTGTTGCTTCTGAGCTAGATAGCCGCTAGTTTACCTTCAAGCCTTTAAGACCCTTGACACTATATCTTTTGATAGCCAGGCACCATCAGCTTTCTTCGCTGCATTTGGTTATGCACCCATTTGTCTTCAGCGGTCGTGTCAGGGAGGTGAGCACAGGATGATATGATTTTTTTGTTCTTTGATGCCTGAAAACTGATCCCTTCGGTACCTCAGGATCTCACAGGCTGATGTGCTTCTATGTGGGCTTTGTTGCTTCTGAGCTAGATAGCCGCTAGTTTACCTTCAAGCCCTTAAGACCCTAAACGCTGTATTTTTGGATAGCAGGGCACCATCAGCTTTCTTCACCACATTTGTCTTATGCACCCATTTTGTCTTCAGTGATCGTGAGCATCATGGAATGCCAGTTTAATAGAACAAAGTGTTGTTGCATTGAGGGGGTACTTGAGTGTAGGACCAATGTCCATCTGCTAGCTTAATATTAAACCTATAAATATATGCACATAGATCTATTTCCCCATCATATAAATATATGTACATATGTACATACCTGTGTTTAGACCTCTATAAATGGCTACTAGTTCTTTCCTCTATTTCCTTTTACTTTCCTCTTGTTCTACTGTCATGCTCAGCCTTCATCTGGGCTTTAGTAATTCCTCTTGGTTACACTGCCCTTGATCACGCCCTTCCAGGCTTCTTACACCCTCCTCGCCACTTGTTCCTTTGTCCCTGGGTTAACACCACTTCCTTTCCCCCACCTTACCCCTCTCCCATGTCCCCCTGAAAGGGCCAGTCCCATTGTTTTCTCCTCCAGATTGTTTATCCAGCCCATCTTATCTAGTTATACCTGGAGAGATAATAAGACAGATAAAAACAAGACCCTCAAAG